GATAGGATAGTTGTCTCTAATTAATATCTTATTTAACGACCCACATAATTCTGATCTCACCATCTGTTGGGTAAGCATAAGGGGAATTGCTGGGGCGATATGTCTGATTTTATTTTATTCACGTATTGCTTTTCCGCAAAGGATAATCTTCGTATTGAAAAATATGATGTATTCCCCGAGTTTACTAAAATTGAGGCTCTGATGGCTCTGGGATAACACAAAATATCTGATAATAATTTTCATTGTATTAGACTTCAATTCCAATGCTGGGTTAATTTCTATTTTTTATTCCCTCGTACCTACATTAATGTTACAAACTGTCTGATATTCATCAATCGTATCTATTTTTATTCCCTTTTTGATCTTTAATTGAGAACCACAAACCAATTCATTTTTTCATTTATTTTATTTAACCCCATATTGAATTCACTTGTGAATTGAATTCGAATTCCAATTATTAGTATGTAAAGATATTTAAATAAACTCAAAAAGTCTCTTCCGAGCACGAGGTCATATTCAATATTCAAATAAAACGAAGAATTTTAAATATTGGGTTATATTACGTTTACAGTTTACCGGATTTATTAATCCAGCGAATTCAAATTGCAAATTCCATACCATATACGTCAAACAAGGTCATCAAGGAGCTTAACCCTGTAAAAATGTTTAATGTAAACAAACTACCACCGTTACCTCTTTTCACAGACTCGGTACGAGGCAAAACCTGAGACAATTTTAAAAATTTGCCTGCAGATAGCCAACGCGGCTGCATTGACGTCGACAATTTTCGTCAAGCCTTCGACTAACTTTTGTACTTATGGAAGTTTTTCTTATAGGCGCTCAAATAAATACTAATTTTAGATGTACTGTCTTTGTTGTATGACCTCTTTGTTATTCTACGAAAAATGGCAAGGTCTTTGGTCCCCCAGACCGGCTGGGATTTCCTCACATGGTATGTTATTGAACAAGGTTTTTCATAGCTTGAACGAAGAACTTTTGTGATACTTTTGTCCTCTCAATGTGATTAATTGGTTGCTTCGACCTCGAGGATCATGTTTCAACTCTGGCGTAAGAGACTTAGATTTGTCCTACCCTTATTGCATATTCGAAAATTATTATTAAGAATAAAATTGAAAACTGGCACACGTTTTGCATTCGTAAAAGTGATGGGCAGTTGCATCACATACTAAAATGATGCTGCATGCACTACCCATTTTCTTAGTAGGCCCAGGATGTCAATTCAAGACATTGATTCTACCTCCATTTAGCCTTCTGGCTCCTGATTTCTCTTCATGGTATAATGAAATAAAGGTAACCTTATTTCAAATATGCATTCCCAGCCCTGCATTTTCTGTAATTTACCTTGTCCAAATTTACTGCATTGAAAACAGTTCTCATCTCCGATTTTTTGTATATACTATGGATTCATGGTTATAGATTTTGACAATAAAATGTTGTCAAAGGTAAAAATTTGAAAAAATTGTAAACATATGATTGTATGACTTTACCTTCTTAGATTTACCATGTCCTTTACTAAAATTAGAAAAAACTACATTCGATTCAAATTCATCTTCGCAACAATAAAGGCCTCACCTTATCCCCATTTGTGGTGCGAAACCCGTATAGTTCTTGCCGTTAGGTCCGAAAAACCTATTATACGGGGACAATATTAGACTTCGAGAGGATTAATTGGAGCTCGACAGCCTTGGCCTTGCAGATTAATCTGCACGTGGCCACATTTAAAAACCATCCCGTTGTCCTTAGAAAAGGAATCTACCATTCTACATAAGATTTTCGAGACGGACGCAACGGCGACCTTACTGCCTTTCCAAAGAGATTAAATCCCATTAACTGCAGCAATATGGAAATAGATTCCTTACTGTGAATATTATTACTGCTAATGCCGAAACCAGAAGTTCATAAACTTCAATTTGGAGGCGAACGACAGGTACTAGATATGAACCTAACCATGGTCCAATAAATAGTCCACCAGTAATACTATTGTATAATAAAGGCCTGCACAAGACGAATTGTATGAATTGTGCTTTTTTCGACACACTGACTTTGTCTACTCAATCATGCGCTATGTATTTGATAGGCAATGACAACCAACAACATCCCCCATTTTGATTCATGTGTGCCATTGTCTAAAGTTCGATCGTGGCATGGCTGACTCGAATATTTGCATGGTGTTCTCCATAAATGCAGGGTGTCAACGATGACATCGAACCGTGTCATCGTCAAATTGTGTGTCATTTGTGTACGTGTGCTTAAATTGAGAGAGTGTGTGTGTGTGTTACTTTCGACGGTGAGGGTGCGTTTTTGTGTGCGCTGTAATTTTGAAGTAACAAACACCGCGTAAATATAAAATTGAGTTCAATAACAAAATGTGTATAGACATCAACAAATGAATAGAAAAAATGAAATACATTCTTAACAATCCCAATTTATTGGTGATTATCATAAAATTTTGGTCATAAAAAAGAGGTAAATATTGTTTGCATATTTTCTATCTACATATAGTGTTCTTTTACACCTCAATACCGGAGGCAAACATTTATGAAATTATAATCAAAATAAGAAAATTTTTCAGGGGATTATTGTTTTTTAATAAGGACTAACATTTTAGATTGTTCGTCAATAACCACGAAATGTGAAAATAGTGTGTGGACCAATTAGAATTACCTTTAATATTTTAGTAATCGCCAAGAAATTCTTTATTACAAAATATTTTTTTCACATATTGAGAAAGCAGGTAGCGATTGCGCTTTGCCTTCATCACGTGTGTGTCTTTTTCGTTGGCAATTGTTTCATATTTGTTGTTGTTTTTTGATAGAACATTTTTGTATGACACACTATTCAACAATCCCTTTTATTGGTCATTATATGTTATGACGATGGGTTTGAGTGTGACCGACATGACGAGACATCGAGCATTTGGTTGGATGTCACGTACTGTTATGCGTTTGATCAAACAGGGCACAACATGACGAGCGTTTTCTCTCCATGGCATAAATAGAGAAAATTGTCACATTTGCAGCCCTTTATTGTATAACTAGTTAATGACAAAAAAAAAAATCGGTTATGGCCGTAAAAAGTTTTATATTGGTGAAGTTCTGGAACAGAGCAATTCCGTAACTATTTATTTATTCATTCTATTGTATCGCAGAGGTGGAATACATACAGAAGCTAACATTCTACATGGGATTTTCGAGACGGACACAGTGGCGACCTTGCTGCCTTTCCAAAGAATCCACCAGTAATGATCGATATTACCGAATTTCATTTGCTCATAATTTCAGTTAACGAAATTTGTAAGTAATCGATGAAAATAAAGAATTCGAGAATCCCACTTCAGGGGGCAAATTTCCAAATTCAATAATTATGACAAAAATTTGTTATTTTTGCAAGAAAATATTTCGCCTCGGCACAATATCACAACGATTTTCTTATTTGTTAATCAAGGTGTAATTGACAATCATATGGTTTTTATTTTTTTTTTAATTTTTCGTTCTGCTCCAGAAGTGCAATAATGTAAACGTTTCTACTACGATAACCGAGTTTTCCTTTATGATATCTATGAAAATTGCAAAACTAGTGGATTCTTGCAGGTACTGGAACAGAGCAAATATTTTGGGAATATTTTTTCAACCAAACAACATCCAAAAAATCCTACCAAAGAACAACCTATTCAAGTTCATGTTGTGTTATAGATTTCATATAACGGTGGTTCCCGGAAATCGGTATTTTGATGATCAGAAAATGCCTCCCGGTATTGCGAATAATCTCGGATATACATTGGAGTCGAAATGTTGGTAGAAATTTTGGGGTGTGCGAAGTTTGATGATTTCACACAGTTTTAACATTGATTTCACACCTTCCGAGACTTATTACTCAACATGTTGACCTTTTGTGAGGAAGGTACCTAACCTAAGTCTGACTAAATATTAAAATGAAGAAGAACTGGACAATACTGCCCATCTCCCAAATCGATCTAAGTTTGACATGTATATTACGATGTTTCAATCGATAAAGTGACCTGATACATATTTTGGAATATTTATTTGTATAAATGCATGCATCTTTAAAAATAAAGAATTGTTTCATTCAACAAAGCGAAAAATGTAGGATTTTTTTAATTTTAACAAAAAAATTGTCTTGCATAAATAATTTGATATTTACTATTCAAACAATTTGAAAATGATAGATGAGTTCAATACAAACAAGTAAAAAAGCTGTACCCTCCACCATTTAGAACGAATTTGGCAATTTTCAAAAAAAAAAAAAATAAAATCCATTAAAAATTTTATTGAAATCTTAAAAATACCGAATGTAGCCGTCATATTAGGGTCTAAACGAAGACGTGGACCTGCATAGGCAACTTTTGTCATAAGCCATTACAATATTCAATTGTTGACAGATTGACTGTAGTTCAAAAATGACACAGCTGCTGGGACAATGAACTGTCAAACCAATTTTGGGATTGAAAATGTTGAATGAAAAATTATTTAAATTTGTAAAAAATGTTGAAAAACACGTATTATACTAACCTCCGAATGATGTTGTATAGGAAAACAAATAAAAATCTACCTCTATTTGAAAAGACATTTACAAATTTATGACATATCAATGTTCCCAAGCGTTGATGCATCTACCTGTATTTTTCTACCATGAGTTTTAGATTAAATTGTCATATCAATTACGCATACTTCATAAAAATCCTCCTGGAGTAGGTTAACCCTGCAAAAAGTTCTAACGTAAACATGGCATTAGATTTGGAAATTATTCAAATAATATTTAGGTAACACAGTAATAATTTGTTCACAGCCTGTACAGCTGGCATCATTGAAAATAGTCTTTATTCCAATTATTCGAATGATAGGATCTGGCAACGTTTTGTTTGCCAAACAAATACACCTCTGGAATTATGTGAAACGTACTAATAATTTTTCGCCAGTTCCGTTTTATTAATTACACTATATGCTTGTGTGTCGGTCTGTGTTTATTTTTGTTTTGTAATACATTTTGATATAAAACGGGATTGAAACTTAAAGGCGAACACTATACATTTCGAAGTTTTTACGTTTGTATACACAGAATAAAAAAACCTTAACAGCTAACGTCATCGCTCGAATAGATGTGATGCAGTCCCAGATTTCGATCATCGTATGTGCCGTCATTGTCTATATTTGGGAACAATAAAGGGAACACACGAATCGTTGAAGAAAAACAAATAATTCTTAGTTTTTTAAACCTATCTCCGGATATTTATGCATATCGGCATTATGTAAATATCTGTTCGATGTTTAATATTTGTGTTTGATAAGAATTGCCTTGCCATATGACAGATATAAATATGTGTGTATAAATCTATATGTGTGTCATACATTGTGTGGAACCCAATGTGTGTAAAGTTTCTTAGACTGGTGACAATATTTTTACTTTGCATTGCTATTTTAGCGTGTATAATGGTATAATGTCATGGAAATTTGACGAAATGTATTTTAATTTGAACAATAGTGCCGCTTTGCTATGATTGACTTCGGTCAAGTGTGCTAAATGTAGAATATTTTGACAGTCAACGCTTGTGTCGGTATGTGTGAATATGGGGAAGCTATTGCACACTTCAGTGTTGCCAGTCGGTTTTCAATTTGAAGTTGTGGTACCTATTATACATGCGTATCAAAACATCTGTTTTAAGTGTTATTGTTTCAAATGATGTATGTATGTTTAGAACTGCAGGAAAGTAGATCGTTTGACACCAGAAGTCATAACTAAATTTAATAGAACAGTTTTTTTGTTAGAGAAATTTGCTTTCCTTCTTTTTTTTATAAGGTTATCTATAAAAATAAGTTTTTTAGAATAAATATGACACTAGCTATCGCCGTCATGATTTTTTTAGTTTATCGCATTGTTTATTTCTTAGGTCTGTTCGTTAACTTTTCTAATAATACTACTCAACAACTTCTGTTGGTAGAATTTGTACATTTTGCCAAGAGTAAACGAACCACATGCATTATTCCACTATTTCCATTGGAATTCGAACAACATCGTTCGCTCTCAGAAGTAGGTCGTGGTAGAAGAATATAAGGCTTGGGAACATTGAAATGTCAAACTTTTTTAATGTTTCTTCAAAAATAAGTTGATTTGTATATGTTTTCCTCTTCGACGCCAATCGGAGGTTGTTATGATATGCATTTTTAACAATTTTTACAAGTGAGAATAATTTTCCTTTAAAAATTTTAATTCCAAAATTGGTTTGACAGTTCATTGACCCAGCAGCTGTGTCGATGCGACTACCTGTATTCCTTTACCTTGGAAGTAGGTATCCAAATCAACCCGTTTAATAACAAGATTCATAAATGCTTATTTTTGTTTCTATGTTATTATGGAAATTAAAAACTGAATATGAATAAAAATATAATTAGTGTCTTTCTTTAGGTATTATATAATTTTATTTCATGTTTTCCACTTTTTCAGAAAATATTGACTTTTTAACTAAATTTTAATACTTTTGTAGCTTAAAATTCTTCAGGGGAGAGACATGCCAATAATAATTTCATGTTACAGAAATACACAAAATGTATGATAGTTTTTCTAGAATTGTAGTCAAATTTGAACCTATGGAAAATATGCGTAACTTGGATTAGATAGAGAACACCATTTTCTTTTGTTTAAACTCAAGATTATAAAAAATTCTGGATTTATTTTGAAACTGATCTTTTAATATCCTTTCGTTTGGTGCACACAAGCTTATTAATAACATCCAATAGATACTTGCAAAAATTGTTATTGAACAAAATAAAATAAAAGAATTTTATAATTATTATAAGGCTGTTGTATACATTATGTAAAAACGCTTACAGTAGCAAATTTTTTGTTATTATGGTATAGTATATATTTTATATGGTACTGCGCATCTTTACATTTTAAAATGTGATCGGAGCGCTTAAAATGATCTACAAAATATTGAATACATATGACTCAAACCTAATGTGTAATCTATCCTTATCTCTTATTTGCATTAACCAAAAATAACAAATTTATTTCTAGTAATTTTTAGAGAGATTGTCAATCTATATTTTGTATACGTGCGTATTGTTTATAATTGTATTTAAATAATTTTTCAGTTAAATGCCAACTAACTAAACATAAATATATATTTTTTTTCGGATTGTTATTTCAATGTCTCTAACCCCGTAAATTTATGCATGGTTTATTAAATCATTTATGTTAGACGTTGTTTTGCTGTAGGCTCTTTTCGGAGCAGTAAATTCTAATTGTTATGTATAATTTAAACATTCCCAAAATACATTCACTTAACATACCATACTGTATAGTTTTCCTATAATCGCAACCCTACTATTTGGTGAAAGTTACACACATAGCGTCATACATGATCGAAACCCACATATAGATTCATTCCTACATTTCATATCTTTCAACGGCAAATAATTAAAATGTGAACTAAATTTAAAATTTATAAGGAAATACGGCTGCTAAAAGGTCGCATTAACAAATATATACAACAGCATACCAAATATAAAACATCGAATCAAATGGTACATTTGTCAGTTTTAAGACAGTTTTGCAAATACAGTTGAAATTTTTGTACACCATCGCAAGTCAGTATGACGGTTGAGTATATCAGCTCAAAAATTCTTTATATAAAAATATAAAATTTCTTACGAAAAATGTGATTTTGAAAAATTGACATTTCAAAATATAGCTGATAAAAAATACCGTAAACAATTAGAAAATTCCGGAAAATATGTGCATAAATTATGGCAAACAGCGAAAAAGATTTGTGTGTTGAAAATATAACGGCATGTACTGAAAACAAATATGGCGATGCAGATGTTGTCTCGAAAAAGCGAAAATTACATAAGATCCTGGAGGAGAACGAAATTGTCCTTGAATGTATTGAATCGGGCAAGTCAGACGAGGAAACACTGTATTCCAACTTTCATAAACACGCCAACGAAAATTGTCTTCATAGTTCATTTGTTGACGACGATCCAAAAGCCAAAAACTATAATACAGAAGAAATGCCATCACGATTAGATTCAGCCTGCGCGATTCCGAATAGTAAAGCAACATGTGCCAAAACTAGAGTTGTTTTTGTTTCAAATAAGCCATCTGTTTCCAGTAAAGGCTTTGAGAATAGCTTTAAAATTCTGCAGCAACAGATTGAGAACAAGTCCCAACATTTGTCTAATTATATGAGCCACCCGATATTCTTGTCTCTCGCGAAAAAGGAGCCCAGAGAAGATGATCCAAGTCGTCTAGAATTGGAGTTGGAGGCAATGCAGCGCCTTCAGAGCGTAGTACACAAGTTAGAATCTGGACAAAAACATAATGTACCAACTTCGTTGTTGGCTTTGTTTCATGCATTCGTGTTGAAGAATTCATCAAAGCAAGACCTTACCGATGATTCAAGTCATTCCTGTGTTTCGGATCAACAACTGAAATTAATAAATAGCGGTTTTTCTTCAGATCTTATGTATTATATTGGAAGAGATCCGGATGGTAGAAAATGTCTAAAAACAAAGAAAATTTTGAATCAAGAAGGTTTGTTGCACCATATTTCCCATAGTTCTATATATATAATGTTACGGAAACATTTTTTGTTGTAACAAATTGGCGATGCGAGTACCTTTACATTTGCCTTGGTAGAACATATATTCACGTAACTGATAATAATTTATTTATAAAAATTGTGGTATCCATATGTATATAGTACCGTTGAAAGCAAATACAATACCATTAATATGGAAAAAGTGCACGATGCTCGATATAATTATATATATATATATATATATATATATATATATTGCATCGTGCACTTTTTCCATATTGTTAACCCCCATTTGCCTCTTCAAAGTTTTCAAACATGCGGCGATATATTAGGGATAATATTATATTTTTTGTCACTTATCCTGGATTACACTTGCAACTCAACTGACACCAATATTTCATTGCTAGTGAGCAAATGAGTGGTCAAAAACTCATTTTTTGCCACATTGAAAAAATCGAATTTTCGACTACAATAAACATATGCAACCTTGCGTAAGTTACTTGCATGTGTAAACCCCGAATCAAAACTTGCTATACGTATATTTCCAAAGGTTAACCTACAATAACAAAAACGAGCTTATTCCCAAGTACTATGGCAGTGTGCTATGGTTTGTTTGAATTGAGACATTAAAATTTGAAAATAAACAGATCATATTGAAAACATGTGATTTAGATTAAATTAAATACATTACAAATAAATTTTAAGTGTTTGTACAACATAGATTTATTTAAATGGAGTTAATTTCGTTGCGTATTTTTTAACAGTATTAACAAATTGTTGCTTTTAGTGTTCTTATTATGAAGTAACGAGACACTACCTTCAGAGCAGTGTTTTTCAAACAGTGCCAACATGGTGCTGGATTATTGTTCTATATTCAATTGAAAAGGTGCAGCGTATTGTGTTGGCCTTCATCATGACGACTGCACCATTCTAAACGCTATTGCACCAAAACTATCCTGGTTTCTGTGGGCAGCAGACGTTCTTCCGCTCCAATGGATGGGGAGTGGACTCCGAAGACGGCATTCATAGTATAATTATTATCACTAAATGCTTCCGTATGAACGCGATCCAGACCTGCCTGATAGGCTTCTTGGCCTAGTGGCTCTCTCTCTAAGCGTTGGACCTCCCTCATTAGATTATATATGTCCTTCCTGACACGCCTGAGTGGGGGAGTATTATCCACCATATGATGGTTTAGATGACTCCCATGATAACACTAAATCAGGTACTGCAACGAAAGCATATGGTTATGCTAACGTAGGGGAAGGACCTTCGTCTCCTCATGTAGATGGTCTACTGGTGTCATGAGGAGGCACACTGTCGCAGTTCTTAAGGCAGCATTCTGGCAGGTCTAGATATTTTTCCACTGCTTAGCACTTGTATCCGCAGACCTCACTTGGGCCGCACACCTAAAGATGTCTCCTTGTCCGCACCCCAAGTGCTGCCGGCTAGAGCCTTGAGGACCTTGTTCTTACTCTTCATTTTGTCGCAGATAGCTGTGGCTTGCACGGACGACTTGAACATGCGGTCGTATGTGACCCCTAGGATCTTGGGGGAGCGCTCGTGGTCGGTATTATATTTCCCATTCAGACTATTCAATGCATGCAATTATAATTCCACCATGTCATTCGTAGATAAAAAAATCAACTTTTTATTTGACATTTCTCTCTCTCCCCCTCTCTTTTAAAACTTCAATTTTATCGCAAACAATGTCGTAACTTAAAACTTATTTTAAATTATCGATTGCAATTCGACTTATAGCATGTTTCCATTGGAAACCGAACAACGTTGTTCGCTCTCAGAATTATGTACACGAATTAACCCGTTCATACGGCACGATTCGTAATTCATAGTAAAATAATTCCTTTTTTCAAAAAAAAATGTTTGTTGATTTTAAAGGGAATGTATACGAAAATACATGAAATTCTCGCTAATATGAATATAAGAAATTATTGTTTTTCTCCCAAAGATTTATTATATCATTAATTTTACAATTTTCATTCACGTTTTCAACTTTTTGTGTAAATGTTGACATTTTGAACATATTTTTGTGTTTTTCCATTTTTAAATTCTGCTGAAGAGACACTTCTCAAACATTTTTTCTGCCAATAGAAACATTTTGAAAATATTGACTATTTTGTTTGCAGTTTTCTGTAGAAATTTTAACTCGTGGACCAAATGCGTACCTCGAATGAGAGAGAAAACAAAATTTACTTTCTTTGAATGTACATACGCCATTCAACATTGTAGTTTTCATTCATAATTTTCAGTCTTCCCAAAAATTTTTAAAATTTCATTAAATTTTTCTATTTATAATTTTTAAATGTCATAATTTATTTTTTCGATAAATGCTCTCATTTGTTAGGGATGGGACATATTTTTTCGTTGTTCTGAGAGTGATTTGATTTGAACAAGGTACAAATATGAGTGTTCGCTCAGGAAATGTTGTGTGAAGAATTAGGTAGTTTTTTCATAGTTAAGGGTCAAACAACGAATAGAGAGCGAATCAAGTGCAGTGGAAACGCCACATTACCGAATTAAAAAGTATTATAATTACATAGACAATTATTTGCAAATATGTAACCATATATCAGTTTTAAAATTTCTGTACAAGATCAAAAACGGTTTGAAGTAATTAAGTAATTTTTGAAGTCAGTATTCTGTTGATTTATGTCAAACTCCAACTAAAAAATGGAGTTTAACAGACATCAACATGAAAAGACGTTTTTTGAGGTATGGTGAACTTTGGGTAAATAAGCGATATTTCTGGTTTTTCATTTGACGTTTTTTTAATAGAAGCCGTGTAACATTTATTATTGCATACTCTCGCTGTACGACTGTGAAATCTGCGAGTAGCAACACTGCACAATATTTAGACACAGAGAATTTGTGGAAGCTATTGCATGAGTGGTGTGGATTTCGTTTGTTTTGCCAACCCCATTCGGTTGTATTTAGTATACAAATGTATCTAACAAATTACAGTTAATAACTACGAAGTGGGCCTTTGATTAGACAAAAAGATTTACTTATTAATAAATTTAATAAAACATTGTGTGTGAATATAACTTGTATCTTGTTAGTACACGCTTATATACGTAGATATTTATTTTGTATGTTATACAAGACAAACAAAAGAATAACAACAAACTGAATGTTTACGCCATCTTGCCATGCAGCTGGAAATTTTATATTCTACATCACGAGTGTATTGTCCGTCCACGATACTATGTTCGTAGCTAGTCAATACATTATTCTCTACCTAATAGTCATAACTTATGTAAATAAACCAGATTTCTTTCCGAAAATGCTGGAGAACCGAATTTTGTTTTATACCTAAATTGAACGGAATTCATTAAAGAAGACATCCCAAAAGTACCTGTTCGTTTTCTGTTACCAACATTCAGTTTTTGCAACTTTGTCCTCATAAAGCCGCGTCGTTGCATATTATTTTCGGTTGTAGTTTTTTTCCAAGCATCGTTTTTATTTTTCCTCCCTTTTTGCCATAAAGGGGAAAATTGAATATTCGCGCACACTCAAACAAAGATATGTATTTCTGTACGAACAATTTCAAGTCCGTGAGTGTTAAAAATTGCGACAATTTCTTATACCGTGCAATTTGTGTGTGATGCGTCATAAACTCGATTGGCTAGAAGATAAATTATTTAAGCAAACAGCTAATACTTGAAAACATTCAAAACCTAGTGTTGACTATTAAGTAAAAATGATTTAATCTGCTTTTTATTTCCTGAAATCCTTAATTTCTCTAAAGTGTGATTATACATATGTATGTCAACAGACCTTTATGTCTGGGTATAAAGTATCACATAATTTTTAAAACAGAATGGATAAATACGAGGATTGCATAATTACATACGAAACAAAAAGAGGATTTGAAATCAAATAACCAAACATTGTTTGTTTGGAAAGGAAATCTGGACGTAAGTCGGTTTTCACCTATTTCGCCGTTCTTAAACGAAAACGATAGTCCAAAAAGTATTGGCTTGTTGTTTTGTGGCTGTTATACAATTTGGGATGATGGATCCTTTGCAACTGCCTCAAGTCATAAATCGGTCACATGATAGCAGTATAGTCCACGCTGACATAGAGGGTAGTGTAAATAGAGCCACACCGCCCCATATCAGTATTGAAGAAAACAATTGGGAGTTGTTTATCGAGGAGGCAAATCAGTTAGAGTACGATGAGGAAGAATTGTTTATATCATCATTTCCAAGTACACCAACAGTGGAGCAAATTTCTTATGAAGATGAATTTATGATCGACACAACGATAAATTCTTCCCTTGAAAATTTAATACCAAATGAACAATTATTAATCGAAGGTTTGCAATATTATTCTATAATATCTTTGTTTTAACATCAGCAACTCAAAATGTGCAGCTGTTCATAAAAAAAATCCAAGTGTACAATACTACAAAAAATCAAAAACATCTTTCATCCTGCTTTTTACGTTGTACAATATTTTTTAACTCTACATAAACATTGTTAGAAACTTGATTATATGCAACAGCCAAAGAATATATCAATGTCACTTAGCTAGTTTTTGAACTGTATAGACACTAGCCTGTTATGAGGTTAACTGAAAGCAAAGCTCCAATACAAAAATATAAATATATGGACATATTTTTATACCCACACAATGCTTTTGCCCATTACGTCTTTGGCGTTTCTAACGAACAAACCCCCTTACATCTATTACGTTTTACTGTTGCTTATAGCAAACCCAATAAATTTAAAATGTATCAAATAATTGTAAAAATGTCAAGAAAACATTTTAAAAATATGATCCTGCAAGATGCGCCAACAAAAACAAGATGTGTTAAAACAGTTCATAGCTATATAAATTCTATTCATACACATATAATTTTGGTGTCATTCTGTAACAAACAGACAATTTCTGTTCAAAACGATAGGTCTCATTTTCTGACGTTCTCTTTCGTATTTGTTACAAAAACCCAGAAAAATGCAATGGAAAGTGAAACCATAGCTCTCTTTCTATCGTTTTTTTTCTGACGTTCTCTCTCGTATTTAATTCTTACAAAAATCCACAAAAATACAATGGGAAGTAAAAGCTTTCGTGTATACGTCACGGACATAAAAGTCATTGGCACCGAAAACCCAAATATTTTTTTAAGTCGACAAATTCCAAACGAATGTGAAAAAATCATAAATAAAAAAGTTGTCAAAGTACCTATCCAAAAATGTGTTGAATATTGCGGGCCCCTTTTTTCTAATACCGGATACAGTACAGGAAGATCACTACGCTTTGTACCCATCATCAAATATTTAAATGCTCTTTTAATCAACTGATTTTATTAATTGCAATTTCGTTTTGACCACATAGCTTATATTATTAAATTTCTTTTTACAGTTCTATGTGGTAATCGTGTAAGTCAAATGACCCGTGCATATGATGATATTGAGGCTGTCACACGCCTTCTCGAAGAAAAAGAGAAGGATTTGGAGTTGACGGTACAAATAGGGAAAGAATTGTTGACGCAGAATAATGCATTAGAAAATAGAATAGCCGATTTAGAAGCTGAATTAAAATCAGCTAATGAGGACCGTTCGCAGTTGCTACATGAGCTACACAAGAAAAATGAACTGATAGCTGTTTTAACAAATGATTGTGAGGATTCTAGTGATAATGGTAAGTCATGAAGTTATTGATGATATGATAACTACAAAGTCTTATATTTCAGATACCCCAACCTTCTCCAAGTCCATCACTTTGGATTTATTACAAAAGAAGATTGCTTCACTTCAGGATGAAAACAAGTCACTTAAATATGAAGCATCTCAATTGGCCTGTCAGACAGATGAGGTTGAGGCTCAGGAGCGGAGGCTTATGGACGATATAGCATCACAGCTAAACGACGTCAATCAGCAGTTCGAAGGACTTAGCTTAGAACTGGAAAGGCAACGTGAGGAGAATCGTTTGCAGCATGAACAAATAGTAAGCTTAACTTCGCGATTGGCAGAAGCTGAAATGAAACTTCATCAACTGACACACGACAACGATGAACATATTACACTTCTAAATATTACAAAGGAGAACCAAAATAGTCTGGCATTAGAACTGGTTGAATTCAAGCAAAGATATCAAGAGGTCTTGGCTCTTTTGCAAGAAGCACAGGAACAGTTACGAAAACAACGAAAGAAAACTATGCCTCAAGCTCGTAGTTCCTTCATGTCTTCAATTTTGCAGCCGGACTCCTTGCAGTCAGAATTGATGGAGTCATCTCTATATTCAGAAAATAGTCTTGATTCTGGAATATCAGGTGATAATCAAAGAATAAATGATCGAATTGGTCGTTTGATGTCAAATCAACCGAACACATCATGTGGAGTGGCCTACAATGGCACAATGAGTACGGTTTATGGAGGCGGGGGTTTACTGCAGCCATACAAGAGAGTATTTGATACTGTTCGGTGTGCAACCAAAAGCGGAAACTTTGCTGATTTGGACAGTACTTCAATGACACACCTTGGAGCGATGTCTATGAGCACAGCATCAGGCCCACGCATGTCTACTATGGCTATTGGAAGTACATTAACCTCCTCCAACAACACTTTTGGCGCTGAAAATAATGGTATGGGCGATAAAACAATATCCTGTGAAAGTTTAGCTTCTCAATCTGAAGATGGTTATCCCTTGCAACCATCAGGGGTTCCTGGAGCTCCCGGCGCAAAGGAACTTGAGGCTGCTTTAAAGAGACTTACTCCAGCAGAAGTACTTGCTCGAAGGGCTATGCTTTCATACGCACCTGCTGGTACATATAATTATGACGATGTTCAAACTACAACTGCATTTCCAATGGGACTGCGCACACCAGACAGCATTATGTCGACCGGATCATCTGGTATTTCCTCATCAACTAACATGTCATCCTCTGTACATCAGTGGCGATTACCAGAAAAGCTGCAAATAGTAAAACCTATTGAAGGTTCACATACATTGCATCATTGGTCACAGTTGGCTACACCTACCCTGAGTGGTCTTTTGGAAGAAAGACCCGGTGTGACAATTCGCGGGGGGCGAGGACTTGACGATTTAGGTATGCAGGTATACACTTTGTCAGACGTTGAAGAAGACATAAGCGAAGAGTTACCTGGCAAGCAGTATGAAGCGTCTGGATGTACATATACATTCACGACTAGTATGGTAATGCATCCCGACGATGGTATATCAACAGATCTTTCATTTTTATCACAGTCCCAAGTATCTTCAAGAACTGCATCGGCATCAACGTCTCGACAGCCAAGGTAATTTACTTTATTAACCTAATAAATTATAATAATAATAAATTCAACCAATTTCTTAATTGTAGCTGCCCACCAACACCAAGAGCTGGTCTTTCGCGCAAAAATTCCTGTTCAACATTCTCGGTAAATTTAGGCTTAGCGTCTATGTTGAATGAGCGAGGTATCAAAGCTGTAACTCCAAGCGCCTTAAATACACCTGCTGGGCCAAACTTTTCGCCAACTGTAACACCCTGCAATAGTCCTGGTAATTATGTGATTTATACATCAACATATAATATTTGTTTGAAAATAACCTTCGGCATGATAATACTGTGCAACTCAGAAAATAAATACAGGGAAGTCCGACATGTATGGACGTGAAATTTTATATCGGGCCAATAAAGGGTATTTTAGCCCTTTTTTGAAATTATGGTTAAAACTCCGTAACAAATCAAAATATCCTACAAAATTATTTGTCATGAAATTCTACTATAGGTCCTAAAAGACGTAAAAATCTTACCTTAAACGCCAGTAACTCATTTATGTTTAAAAGATTTGGGGTTATGTCCGAACTTTGTGTGATATCTCCAAGAAAGCATCATTTTAAACTAATGACGTCAAAGACAGGAATATTTTTAACCATTGTATATGCAAAGAAATATTCGCACCAATATTCCCAAAATATTTTATTTTCCATTTTTATATACCTTTTTTATCTGACTTCGAGTTGACCTCAGAAAATAACATAAAAGTTCGTTTTTGGTAGAAGGCGTTAAATGAAGCAAGCTCTGAATAAATCATAGGTGCAATACTACTTAGGAAATTCCTGTTTACGACTAACTACTTCGCATCTTGATCACTACTGAATAAAGAAAAATCTGGGTCCTCATCAATTATTTTATCAACTTTAAACATATATTATTCAAAGGTATAAATGTAATTCGGATGCTACTGAAATATGAAGGACAGTATGCTTTACCACTCCACGAAGACTATTTAATTAAGAGAAATTCAATTTTATTTCATTGAATATCATTTAAACTTTTATATAGAATACTTTTTAGAAAAAAAAAAAAAAAAAAAAAAAAATGGAAAAACAAAATTCGTTCAAGTAGTTTATGATATGGGACTTGTAAGAAAATATAAATGTTAATATATAAAAAATGTCATGTAAGTCTTATCTGCCTTGATTATAGGATGAACACAATGGACTAGAAGGTGTCCGAGTGAAGCGGTTATTTGACTTTGACATTGTTAGTGCTTTGCAACGCTTCACACTGGAGTAACCATTCAACACGGTTTTTGTTGCAAGGAATGATTTTTCGTGCTAGAAGGGCGATTATTCTGCTTTAAAAAGAAGACAAGAAAGAGTCAACCGCTTAAAAAGTTATCATTCATTGTTCTTTATTTTTAAAGATCATATCTAATGACGGAACTATAAATAAAAGGAATTGTGTCCTGGGTGAAGGTTTAATTAAACTCGGTTATTTTGGATGTATGTTACATCAATACGTAGAAAAAATGCCTCAAGAGTTTCAGGTCAGTTATTTCTGGAAAAGTTGCATTCCAGAACCTGCAATACAGTTAGCAGGGCAGTCTATTTTGCAGGGTAAGTTTTTGGCAAAGCTGTAGATGATGATCGAATTTATATTTCACGAACGTTACAGCTTCTATCTCCCACCTGCCAAATAGCCATAACATGGGACATCGGCATAGTAGGTGTTCAATCGTCTCTATCTCTTCTTCGCCGTCTTTACATATTCTACAGCAGTCAGACACTGTTATCCCATCTTTAGGTCAGATATTTGGTAATGCAGTGGCCAGTCAGTACGCCTACCGCGGTTCTTTTTCTCGAGATTTCCGGCAAGATGGATTAGAGATTTCCGTTCTCTAAGTGTCATCTTCTTCTGGATTATTCGATAATATATTTTTTGAAGCAGCTTATTCTTGCTCCAGTTTAAACCCTGGTCCAAGATCGTAAAGAAAAATTTGTGTATAGCCTTTTGGTAATATGTGACTTGGTTTTCCGGCTTTGGGAATATAGGTCACTGTAACCTCATTCCATAGACTGGATACGTAGCACAACCTAAGACAGATCTTCGATTTATCCTGCAAGATGTCCAACACCATCAGAGCGAGTTGATTTAATGGGTTGGAAGGTATTAATCGCCCATATGACCCTTCCGATGTACAATGTAGGGTGGGCGTTGCTGATTACTCACTACCACCTGCAACCTTACAGCCGGGTAAGTGGGTACTGATAGGAAGTCGAGAGTCTCTAGAACAGAATTAGTCCATTTGCTATTATCTCAGCTTAAATTTCTCCTTCCATAAATGTCTCCTTCCACAAGTAATCGTCGATCATAGTATGACCTCTGTATCATGTACTTGGTAACTAAACCTGTTATTCGTTGAGGCGCCCATGTATCAATGAAGCTCCGGTAGAATACAGTCGGTACCCTGACTTCAAACCTGCAACACTGATGAACACGTGGTCGCATAACACCCTATCGTTAAGGGGGCCTCTTTTTGTGGGACCTGCACAGAGGCTATTTTAGGGGCGACGAAACATCGCCTCTTCAGTCTACGGATCATTGGCACTCGACACCACCCAGACCCGCTGACTTTTCCGACTGCTTATCCAATTCGCAGCTACCCAGTATGGACGCCCCCGACAGATATCGGCTATGCTCCCCGATGCTGATTGGTTAATTTGTTGATATTAATAAATTTCCATCTGGATCTGACATTTTTATTTGTTTTTCTTGTTCTATGAAATTTATTTAGATATTTTTTTCTTATAAGTTTCCATTTCACATTATCATATAAGAATTAAGCCCCAGTTCTTTACTTTTTTTAATATTATAATATTTACGTTTGAATTATTCTTTTTGCAGAGGGGTCTCCTACGCGATCCATGTCTCCGGAACCACTATTTGGACTACTTTCATCAGGAGCTGAATTGATTCGACGCAAACTAGTGGGCGGTGATATAGAAAGGCCTAACCGCAATCAACAGCAAAAGCAGCAAAAAATTATGTTAACAAGGCTTGAGAGGCGAGCTTTAAGGTCCCTGCGTCTGGTTGAAAGGGTTGAAAGCATAGGTTTAGAAAATATAATAACTACACAACCAAACACAATGTCCCAGTTGGCTAGCGGAATAGCAAATCGGAGTGCAAGTCCAATGGCTCAACTAACAAGCCTTAAAAATATCCATACAAATTCAAACAATATAGTAAGCGATTTACATTTCAATAGAGACCACATAAAGGATGTGCTTCATAAAGGTCTTAATTCACAAAGCAATCTTCCACCATCATCAAGTTTAAAAGAGACGGCTCCAGTTTCCAAACTAATAAATTCTGAACTAAATATTCAAAATAGGGAGGGGATACCGCCAGCGGATCATGAAGTGGATGCACAAAAAACTATTGTGAACAGAACAACTTCTGATGTGGGCATTTCAAACGTCCGAGCCAAACAAATGCAACGGCAAAAGTCAAGGCGAAATCTCAAAAACGGCCAAAGACCTGACTTGGGTACCATTGGCGGACGAGTGCGTACTGATTTGGGACATGTGTCTCCTAAACAGTCGGATCAATCTACCAGCAGTATACATAAGACTTCGTCTAGTTCGAAAAGAAATTCTACCCCAGAAAAACCAGAAGCTAAAGAAGCTCAGCAAAGTATTGCACAATCTTTTGTGGGTACAGTGAGTTCCTTATTATTTGGTCGCAAAGGAGGTTGGCTGTAAATAGCTAAATCACAATGTGTAAACACACACAAAATACGTTTGTTTTTCGGCCTTTTGGCTGCTAAAAAATAGATCGAAGCATCAAAATCTGTCTAACAGCTTCATCCCCTAGCCAGTACACTGCTGTATAGTCCGTTAGACGCGGAGTCATTTAAAATAGCATTTTGAGATTTACATTATACATTCAATTGTATAAGAAAGTTTAACATATCTCAAAGCTGAGATAACATGCACTTATTTTTACAATTTGTTTTAAATTCGAAGTGTGAACCGCTGTTTATCATAGTTGTACTGTGATTACGTAGTTAGTTATTCCTGTAACAATCGTGTGCCCCATTTTCATTCTTTCGTTAAGCATACGTAGATACGTATAAACAGCGACCGGTGCTACTCCCCAAAAACTTATGTTAATTCTTATTTCTTTTAGTTATGATAGCTGTCAAATTTTATCCTGCCTGAAGAATATGCACCACAACTATTTTTAACCCCCAAGAAAATGGAATGTGAGGAATGCACAAGCGTGGCAAAAAGCACCGACTAACGTTTTTCTTTACGCTCTCAGTTCAGATAATTTTCTTTTCGGTCATTCTAAATTTTAGCGTTAATAATTTTGCTTCCAAATTTATTTAAAGATGAAGAGACTTGGTCGGTATTGCTTGCCAACTTCAATTAAGAACACAGTACATTGTGCTAATTATTATCTCTTTAATCATTTCTAGTCCAGCATTGTATATCCAAACTATGCGTATTTTTAATCTTGTTACTTTTTAACTCATGTTTCAAAAGAAATTTTACCGATAATATATATTTTTGTAAGGTACAATACTTGTGTATATAAGGTAGTTGAATACTGATGGCTGCTTGCGTTTCTTCTTTCAAGTTAATTGAAACTTGTTTCAAGTCAAGTTTCAAAAATATAATATGTCATACCTGTTAACAAAAGTCTAAACTACCTTACTTAATTTAAGTTGTGCGTTTGCCAAATGCCTTTCTATAAAATTAAACTGACAAATAAAAATACCAATTGAAACGAAGCACCTATGTTTCTTTTATCCAAATTTTATTTAAGTATGTAATAGTTAAAATTAAGATCTGAAAACAAAGATTCTGGCGACCTCTCTCTCTCTTTCAATTTACTGACCACATAGCTAAAACATCAATCGAAATTATTATGTAGTTTTTTGTTATAAACTACAAAACTATAGTTGAATTTTGTGAACCTTTTACATATTAGTTTGTGAGCTTAAAGTTAAGATGCGCAATGCAACAACTGTAAAAACGTGAAGATACTATTATAATGTGTAGAAAGTCGACAGAAAAGTCGATAAAGTTTAAAATTATTTTTATGCAATAAAATATTGTTGAAACTATAATAATTTATTTTGTTTTTTATGTGATTGGTAGGTTTTTTGTTAAAAGCATATCGTCACCAGAAAGGCCTAAAGGTGTAACCCCATAAAACCATAACTATACAGGAGAAACAAAATTCGTTAGAAACTGAAAACTGGTTTATAAAATAATGTACAGTACTTAAAGAAAGATAAGAGATGTCTTTTTTTTAATAGTAATTTTCATAATTTCAGAGCTATGTGGGTTACGTCTTTTGGTATTGATTTTTCTCTTAAATGAAAAAAGCGTAAACCACATATTTATGGTGTATACATCTGAATAAAGTAGAATAATAAAAAAAATATAATCAATTTACGACTGCATTATTGATCCATGCAGTTAAGCAAACTGTAAATTTGCAATCTGAAAAAGTTGGGTGCAATCATAACTGTGATATTTCAGTGGATCAAAATTAGGCGAATTGTCTATCAGAAATGCCTCCAGATAAATGATTTTGTTTTGATTTCGACCTTTGTTTGGATTACATTTCTTTTGTTGTTTTTGTCTGGTTTATTCGGCCAAACGAATACCTTCACAATTTTAACATAGTTAAAATGAAAACTAGCCATTTTGTTATAATTGGCCATTGACTATTGTATTACCTTTCCGTGATATTTTAATCAGATTCATACTCTTAAAAGTCGGCACCAACAGCCGGGATTTTTTCGATTTCTTTTTCTACCTCTTGTTGGAAGTTTTTTTTTTAAAGTACTTGTACAAAATACCAATTTTGTTGCATTACTACGGAACCGGTTCCAATAACCCACTTGTTAAATAGGTATTTCCATGGTACAATAAAAAGGTAAGATAGAGCTCCTAGCTGATTACAGTTTTTTTCTAAGTGTACCCGACTTCCGCAGAATTTTGGGTATGTAGTTTTTGTTTTGAATAATAAAACAAAATATTTTCGAAAATCAATTCTAAGAAACTTAAGTTGCGGGCCGCGCATTAATAATATTAACCAGGTTTGCAATAGAATTAAAGGATTGAACACTTAGGATAATATTTTTGAGAGAACATCCAGGCATTTCACACATGTTTCGCTCTATTTGACTCATTTTAGAAATGAACAAAAAATCTTAAATAAATAATTACAACTTGTTGTCTATATGTAGCGGGCATAGACTCAGGGCTGCATTTCTGTTGTTGTTGTAGCAGCTCATACATCTGTGTTCGTTCGGTTTCCATTTTTCTGACTCCATTCAATCAAGTTCTGCCTCTAAGTCAAGGCTAGGCAAAGAGTATCCCTTGGGATATCTGTGTGTTCACCAACACAATTGTAAAAAATAAATTGTTTTGAATTTTCTGTCAAATTGGTTTTGGGAGAATATTTAGTTTTGTTCGAGCAGTCGATGAATAAGGTGCTGTCGGACATTTTTATGAATACACCGTAGGAAATATTGGATCACATAAATATATCTTACTACATATTTGAAACAAATATTTCCGAAATTATAAAAATTACAACTATTAAGATTTGTATATTTGATTGATTTATTTTTGACCGAATTTGTATAAAGAGGGAATTCATTTCATATTGACCGACAAATTAATTGTCATTCTAAAGTAGTAGATATTTTCATATCCCCCGATTTCTATGAAATGTCATGTACAGTCTTAGTCAATTTTAGGAAAAATTGCAAGATGCGATGTTTATCATTCTGTTTGTAATTTATGGAAATAATCTGTTAGAACCCAACGCATAAAATTCAGCATAAAATTCTACGACTATTTGCGTATGTCAGCCTGTGGAAATCGGTATTACTTAGATCGTTAGCATGTTATGTCCGAAATTAGTAAACACAAAAAAAATTATATAAAATTTCTGAAAATGTCAACTTATATACTTTTTAATTTTAAAATGAATAATAATTGAAATAATTCTGCAAATATATCTCCAAATTGTCTGTCAAAATATTAATTTTTTACCAACGAAGTTGTTTTTAAAACAGACAATTTTAAATTGAAAATTTAAAGATAACAAATTATTTCTCACTCTGTAAAGAGAGGCAAAAAACACTTGCAATATTTTGTTATTTCAAAACACATACAATCACAAAAATTTTTTGAGGCTCTCTGCCTTGCCCTGCTCTAAGTCCAGACTCAAAAAGGATGGAACCTGTATGGGTTTTGTCCATAACGAGACTGGAGTTAGGTGAGTAGGCTTGGCTGTGCAGCGAAATAGGTGCAGCGTGTCATGTGGGCCTGTGCCACAAGCTGGGCAGATGTTCTGCAAGTCGCTGTTAATCCGGGCCCAGTCGGAATTTAAGCGGCTGCACCATCCGGATCGTAATTGAGCCAAAACTACTCGGGTTTGTCGGGGCAGCTTTCGTTCTTCAGCTGCGACGGGAGGGGGATGGTCTCCTAGCACAGTATTCACTCTGTATCCTTCAATGGGCTCTGAGACCGCATTAGAGTGAATACTATTCAGTCCCGCTTGATAGGCCTGTTGATCTAGAAGCTCTCTCTTATAACTCTGTATCTCTCTCTAGATCATGAAGGATAGTATGGCTTTGGCTCTAACACCCAAGCAGGTATTGCATTGACAGCATTTTGTTATGCGGTCGCACCGGTAAGACCTTCTAAGACTTCTTGTTTCTGAATTCCATGTACGACTGGCGTCCACACACTTAGTTTACTATCCAACGTTTCAAACTTGGCCGGAGGACAGTGCGCTCAATGTCCTCGAACAGTGTGGCATGATTGACTGTATCAAAGGCTTTTGATAAATCAAGTGCCACCATAACTGTTCTACCGCAAGGCCTTTTCTGGTTGAGACTTCTGCTAACATGTGTGGAAATGGCGTGTAAAGCTGTTGTTGTGCTGTGCAATTTTCAGAATCCATGTTGATGATCGGCTATTGGGAAACATTCTCTTATGCTGGGGAGGAGTAAAGTAAAGAGTAAAGCCTCAAAGACGAAAGTGGTATCGGCCTGTATGAATAATTTGCTGGCATCCTTGCCTGACTTCAGTAGCGGGACCACCCTGTCCATGTTCCAGGCATCGGGAACTACCAGGGTGGCTAACGACAGATGGGGGAGCTTTGTAAGATACTCAACTCCTGGCTCATCCAGTTGCTGCAACATCACCATAGAGATTCCGTCAGGACCAAGCGCTTTGGATGACTTTGCGCTTCTGATAACATGTACAACATCTTCCAACGTAAATTGTGGTGGTACCTCCTCGGCTGGAAGGGATCGTACACGGCGTAGGATCCTTCTCTTAGCCCTGTCACTCTCGGGGTGCCGGTTAAAATAACACGCGCACCTCTTCGGATCTGTCACTTCTATGCCGTTGTTCCAGGGTTCCAGAGCGACTTAACCGTTGCCCACAATTTACTCGTTCCGGTACTGATGATGCAATGCTTCAGATGTTCTAACCACCATTTTCCGCTTATGCTCACCTACTAACCTGTTTACCTCCAGAGTAAGTTCCCTCTTTCTGGGGTTATTAGGGTTAGTACGGTGAAGCTCATTTCGCTCTTTTGCTAATCCCGCTGCCTCTGCTAGGAAATTTGGTCTTATTTCACGTTTTCGACCAGCAGGTATATAGCGAGCGGTTGCAGCTTTGATGATGTCACGGTAACACCTATCTACTACCTGAACATCAGATGGGTTGGGCAGTTCTCTGAAGCTTTCCCGTAGTTAAGGAAAGTACGGCGTTCAGAGTCTATGAAGTCGGATGGTCTGTTGATGGCGACAATAATGGGGAGGTGGTCTGAGCCTAGAGAAATGACTGATTGCGAAGTTACGCCATTCGTCAGACCTGGGAACACGACGAATATGTCCGGAGAACTGTGGAAGTCTCCCCTTATTCTGGTAGGCGCGTCCTCATTCACTGTGCAAAACGTGGAGCTATCAATTTGCTCAGCCAGCACCATGTCTCTCTGGCCAACACCTAAGACGGAATGCCATAATTCATGCATAAATTCCTGTTGAGGAGATTGTGTGGGAGTCTCATATTGAGACGACGATGAGGACGCCGAAGATGAAGACTTACTGGGGTTTACATTGACGCAGCAGGAAGTAATGTAGTCCCTATCGCTGTACTCCGCATTAGAGCGAATACTATTCAGGCCCGCTTGATAGGCCTGTTGATCTAGAAGATCTTTCTTATACCTCTGTATCTCTCTCTCTAGACCATGAAGGATTAGGATGGCTTTGTCTCTAACACCCAAGCAGGTATTGCATTGACAGCATTTTGTTATGCTGTCGCACCGGTAAGACCTTCGCCTCCTCATGTAGGTGATCGACAGGTGTCATGAGAAGGCACCGTGTTGCGGTTCTAAGGACGGCATTCTGGTAGGACTGAATATTTTTCCACTGCGTAGCACTAACTTTAGCGACCACACCGGAGCCACATAATTTACAATAGACCGTCCTATCGTGTTGTAAGAGGTCAACAAGGTTTCCTTATCAGCTCCCCAAGTACTACCGGCCAGAGACTTGAGGACCTTGTTCCTACTTCTAATTTTGTCGCAGATAGCTGTGGTATGCGCGGACGACTTAAAGAGACTATCGAATGTGACCCCTAATACCTTGGGGTAGTTGGTGGTCGGAATTATAGCACCATCGACCTGCACATTCAAGGACAGTCCCATCTCCGCAGTCCATGTCTTAAAAAGTGTGGCCGTCGACTAAGTGGCGGATATTTTCATATTCCTCGGAGTGATAAAGGCGGTAAGATCAACAAGGTAAGCGTTTAACCGATCGCAAATGTCATCAATAATGGGTCCGGCGCCACGAGCGTACAATCATCTGCGTACGTTATAATCTCTATGCCGTCTGGAGGTCGTGGAATGTCAGAAAGGTAGAGGTTAAACAGTTCCGGAGATATCACCCCACCTTGGGGAACTCCCTGTTTAACTCTACGGATGCTCGATTTCTTGTTACTGAATTCCAAGTACGACTGGCGTCCACACACTTAGTTTACTATCCAACGTTTCAAACTTGGCCGGAGGGCAGTGCGCTCAATGTCCTCGAACAGT